ATATATATATTCACAAATAAAAGTAGTATACAGTACTTATTAGTTTAGTTTATATTATTTTTTATGGCCATATTTAATTGAGTTTTTAGTAAAATTTGCAAATACTGCATATATTATCTGGAGTCTGCATTGGTTATTGGTCATTCTGTGGGCTGAAAGCTAAAACATTTGAAAACCATCCATGTGTTTCTCTGGATGCTTTTATTACACGGAGCTCGGCTGCCGGTTTCTAGTGTTTAAGCTCCACTGAAGCCGAACTGATGAAGAGCACTGATCTCCTGCCTTTTTCTTAACACAATCCCATCTGACTGCTCAGGTCTCACTACCTGCAGACCTGGACCAGCAACACAGAAAGTGTTCTTATTACTGGTTTAGGCCAGAAAGATTTAGTTCAGCCATCTGCATATATTCCAAAATGTGATGTGTTTTCTTTCATATAAAATATGTAAAAAGCCCATCTGTGTGATCACAGCTTTACACACATTAGACCCTTCACTCATCCCAAAGGTCACATTGTTGATTCATTAGACCTGATCAGTGTGGTTGTTTCAACCCTGTTTTCTCTTTGCAACTCCCCCATGACTGAATTATAATCTTACCATCTACAGTTACGAGCAACTTTCTTCTCTTCATGGGTCCAAACTTTTAGAAAATGTTTCCCTGTTGTTGCAAAACCTAAGGTACCAACAGCCTGTCTGGGTCAGACTGATACAAGCTTTAAATATTAGAGTTTAACACCAGTGGGATTGGATGGTGATCACAAAGAAGTGAATAAAGTCAATATGTCCTAATAATATGATTAGTGTGGATGCTTTACAATTAAATTTGGAGAAAGTCCAACATCACTGTTTTTTTCTATATTTTTATTGAAGTGTAGTAAATAAGTGGAAATAAATATGTACCTGAGGGAAAACATTTTTATTGTATTTCATGAATAAACAATGGAGATGTTTATAAGTAACACCATAACCAAATGACAAGTCAAAACATAATTATTTGGGCTTTGATTTGTATGTCTGTCGAAATATTCAGTGTCTAATTAAGTACATTAAATTAAAGTTATTTAAGGTGGCTGCAGTCAGACAGCTGAGTGGGTCGTCCACTTGACCTGTCTCCATGTCTCAAGCCCCACATGTTCATTGAAAAGCACTTTAAGCTTTGTTAATTTCATATTCAGGAGCCTTTTGTTAACAGGTAATGATCTCACATTTTATTGCAGAAAACCAAAAGACTAAACATTAGATGGTTTAAAATTATTTGAACAAAAAATACCACATCTTCTTCTGTCGCTACTAGATCCCACTGCCAGACGCACTGCCAAAGCTGGTCCTGCTGCAGCCCGGAGCCGCTACGCCAGTCAGTGGACTCTGAACCGGCCTCACCCTACCAGCTCCTCACACACCCTGACCACCGACTGGAGGCTCCCCACTCCACGCGCCACTGGATCTGTGGACAAGGAGAGTGACAGCTACAGCGTYAGCCCCTCACAGGATACAGGTAGGGCGAAGACAGATGGAGGTTCAAGGACAACTTGGACTCACAGGCTTCTGTTTTAAGAGCAAAGGTTCTGGCTTCAAAGCTTTTTGAGATCATCAAAAATCAAGATAGTATAATTTTGAAAATCCAAATAATTTTGATTTCAGTTTTTTTTAATTAAAGGAGAAAAACACTTTTGATCAGATCAGACTTTTTAAAYGTTTACAATGCTGTCAATTTTACATTACATACTTATTTATGTAGAATTCWACAGTCATTTTAAGTGCTGATAGCAGCTGCTGCATTAAGATATAACACTTCTGGTGCAAGCTGATTCACTTCAAGCAGGAATATTTTCATTTTATTTTAATTGGACAGTGTTGTATAAAGTACCACAAAGTAATATTTGAGTAAAAGTACAAGGATCTTAACAAAAAATTGCTTTGGTAAAAGTTAAAGTCTCCTTTMGGAATATTACTTGAGTTAAAGTCATAAAGTATCTGATATTTTTTGTACTTAGTCATTAAAATAAAAGTATGGATTTCAAATGAGCAGTTAAATTTTCTGTAATGACATTTATTAGGAGATGACCTCCCCAAAAATGCTGGTATAAATAATTAATTGATGTTAAATTTAAGATGCACTAGTTCAGCTGTTTCAGTTTATGTACATAAACTGTATCAAGGCTGTACAAACCTTTTCTCCAAAATGAAAATCTATCTGAGGACTGCACCAAATGCAATAATATAATTCATGAAATACAAATACTTCTAAAGTACAGTCCTTTTATTTTAATGATTATGTCCTGCTGGAGTGTGACATGATTTGTTTGTGTACAAACTAATATGGTATCAGCATTTTATATATTTATACTTCTCATTAAACCACAGTTAAATTCACTCTATCTAGGAGGCACAATTTACGTATAGTGATAGTATTTATTTTTTACAATAACAAGCTGGAATGAAAACAAACAAAAAATAAATTAAAGTAACGACTTTCTTCTTGCCTTTTTTTAAATGTAAGGAGCAGAAAGTACAGATAACTGTGTGAAAATGTAAGAAGTAAAAAGTAGGCTGAAAAATAATTACTCAAGTAAAGTASAGATACCCAAAAATTCTACTTAAGTACCATAACAAAGTATTTGTACTTAGTTACTTTACAACTCTGTAAYTGGATAAATTGACTGCATTATAAATGTTTGTAAAATAGTGTTTGTATGAGTTGCTCTACAATATTTTATAGGGGACCCATCATGCAAAATTCACTTTTTAAAGGTTTTTTTTAACTCAACTTTGGGTATGTACTTCTTTTAAAAAAAAGTCCTAGGACCAAAAAAATGCACGCAGAGGCAAATTTACTGTAAGTAAATATATTTTAATGTATATGAACAACAAGTTTTATACTTCCGTCATTTTGTGATGTCACAAGCTGTGCGACAACCCACCGGAACCTGCGTTCAGCCCCTTACCTAGCAAACCCCGGGTGAGACTCCATCTCCTCAGTATAAAAAGCCGTCACGGTTGTTGTTGTGCAATGTGCAGCTCATATCACAACAAGCCTTCAATAGGGCAATGGACCAGAGAGTGGGAGCACAGGGTTTGAGGCCAGTATGGACATAATTTCATTATTTCTTTATTTTCGTTCGTTATGAACACATTTTCTCATGTGCCTCTATTGTTTAGCTTATTAAAGCCTTGTTAAAGCCTATTTGTTCGAGTTTCTGAGGTATTTTGACTGCTGCTGCTCCCTGCTCTGGTAACAGCATGCAGAGTGAGCACAGAGCAGAGGAGGGAGAAAAAAAAAGAAACTGCGACCACGACTCTGCCTCTGGGTCTCATATGGTTGAACAACGGAGCTTCTGCTATAATTAGCCATGCTAACGTAAACGCTGGCTTTGGAGGGCGGAGTTAATGTCAACCGATTTTTGGAGGGCGTTACCAACAGAGCTCATTAACATAAACAGCTCTTCTGAACRGAAGTCAGAGCAGGCAGAACTAGAAAATGGGAAATTTTATCTGAGAATTATTTTGTGCATTAAATTGAATGAACATGGTCAGCCCACAGACATACCATAAACATTTCTAGGACCCATAATTGGTCTCCTTTAAGATTGGAGTCGGTTTAAAACGAATAAATCATCTTGATTAGGGCCTGTTTGCCCTTAGGCTTATCAGTCATAATTAAACTTTTTTTATGTTTAAAACATTATCTATAACAGGTGAGATACTATTTATARCCTTTGCACAGAACTTCATTTCAAAAAAGATACAACACTTGCACAACATCAAATTTTCCCTTAATGTTATTTTTCTACCACTCCAATTCTAGTGCATCACACTACTTCATGTTTACTTCAGTGACTAAATGTTTATTACTGTCTGTGATCTGTTGTCAGATCGCGCGCGGAGCAGCATGGTATCAACAGAGAGCGCGTCCTCCACCTACGAAGAGCTGGCCAGAGCCTACGAGCACGCCAAGATGGAGGAGCAGCTCCGCCACGCCAAGTTCACCATCACCGAGTGCTTCATCTCGGACACATCGTCCGAACAGATGACGGCAGGGACCAACGACTACACCGACAGCATGACCTCCAGCACACCGTCTGAGTCGGGCATCTGCCGCTTTACCGCTTCCCCACCTAAACCTCAGGATGTCAGCAGGGTCATGAACATGGCTGTGCCCAAGGCGCACCGACCCGGTGAGGAAATATGAGCGTGCACACACACACACACACACACACACACACACACACACACACACACACACACACACACACACACAAGTCATTTGGCAGCTTTGTGTGAACTGGAGCAGCTCCTCAATCGTTTTTTTAAAATCCAGCTGCTAATGTGTAATTAAAACCATTAATTATTCATTATGTTCCCTTTTTGGCGTAAAAAACAGTCTGGGATATCATTAGAGTCAATTAAAAGTTTTTAGAGCTTTAATTTGATGTTCTGTTCTGATTGAACCATAAGTTATAGACTGGGTATAATCCTGAGAGGATTTCATTTCTAATGATACAAGAGGACTGTTGAAACTGATCTAAGAGGACTTTTAGATCTTTCCTTTTGCACTTCTTTGCAAGTTTGAACATTCATTAAATATTGGTTTTAATATCTTCAGATCACRTCATCAATTTTTACCTCTGGTATTGTTCTTATTGCCACTTACACACAAAATCAAAAACTATTTAGACGGTTAAGGTATCAGTGCTTTAAAAAAAGAAGGGAATAAAACTGAAAATCAAAAACAGGTTTGTGTAGTTTTGGCAAAAATGAAAATTAAAGGACCAGACAAATGATAAATTTACTATTTATCCAAAGATTTCAGCAATAGTCAAATTATTTGTCACACATCTTTTTACATATTAATAGAAACCATGGGAGAATAGAATAGAATAGAATAGAATAGAATAGAATAGAACTTTAATGTCTACCATAGTTTTTTTTTTTACCTCTGGCTCACCAGACATGTAGTAGGCCTATACTAAATATACAGAACAATGCATCAGGCACAACACTAAAAATATACAAAAACACATTCATCAATAAATCAGAACCCCCCCTACCCCCCACCCAAAAAAAGTTAAAATTAAAATACAGATGGCGCTTCATTTAATTATTTAATAGCCTGTCTATTGAAGCGTCTTGTTTAACTTTTGGCATTCTATTTCTTTTAATGAAACTCTTTAAAGCTTTGTGTTGTACTGAGCACCCCCTCAGTCATTAGACATCTGCAGCACACAGTCAGGCAGTCTCATTAAACCCTCACATGATGCATAAGTAGTGCTTTGTGGAGAAAAACTCCTTATTTTGTGTGCAGTTATTTTACACCCTCAGCAGGGTCACTGAGCCCATCAAAGGTCATRAAAGGATAATTAAGAACTGCTGTTTTTATTCAACAACCCCAGGCCTATGGTCTGTTATCAGAAAATATAACATTTGCAACAAACTTGGACCAAATAATCCAAAAGAGCTTAAGGGGTATTTCAACCTAAGGACAGCAGGAGGGTTGAAGCTGCACAAGAACTCAGACGCGTTCATTACTGTACATCTGCTGTCAGGTTGTTTTTACCTGACGTGACCTTCTGCTCCGCCAGACAGATCAGTTACCAGATCTGTTGGAGTCACAGACAGCAGCTGACCACACACAATGCACAGATGTCCAAACTGACAAACACCTTCCTCTCTGACRCGTGCCGACAGCCCATCCATCCTCCCTGCTGCTCTCGTGTCAAAGTGTGTCTGCGGCTGCTGTTAATTAGCCGTGTTGGAGGTCGGCTGGCCATCRGGGCGGCAGAAATGTGTTTCAGGTTTGTGTGGGAGGCTCAGCCTTCTCAGTTCGACCAGACAGGAGTTGAAGACATCAGATTTCCTTCTTAGGTTTCAGGACTCATTAGGTTCTAAATTTTTTGTGTGCAGGACATCAGACTCGTCTACTGTGGAGAGGGCAGCTAAAGGCTATCTAACAACCTGATCTGAAACTATTGTCACTGAGTACAAAACAACACTTTGCTGCTACAGAGGAGACCTTTCAGTGTAATAACAAACTCTTAGTCCATCAGGCCTAAGTGGAAGCTCTTAGTGCAAAAACTCTGGTGTCACTTACACTGGATRGACCATGTAGATATCAAACTACAGTCACCACTGTACTTTCTTTGTAACGTTGTTAGCTGGTTTTGATCAAAAGCAGTTTAATTTGTATTTTAGTGAATCAAACTGTTTTCTTAGAACACTTTGAGGTTTAAAAACAGTATCAAATAGTATGTGTTTCTGCTGAATCTGCTGTCAGAGGGCTGTAAAATTAATAAATATGTGGTTTTCTGGAAAATATWGAGTCAGTATATTCTTAGACAAATTTAAAAACAGGGGATGATGTAGAACAGGGCYGGCCCTAGTCAGTTTGGCAGCCTAGGCAAGATTTCAGGTGGTGCCCCTTGTGCAGTTTTCTAAATCTCACTGCCAGTTTACAAACATTCACATACCAAATTAAATAACTTTGTTTTTTATATTATTTTCTATCTTTAGAAACCATGTAGTTAACAATATACTGAAACAGAAAACCAGAGGTCTACCTCATACCTTCCAACATTTGCTGACATCAATGAGGAACACCTGTTTGTGTTAACCAGCAGCTGTGGAGTGAAGCAGTTCTGGGT